AACGGATCGACATACTAATAATAACTTTTCAACCTGATAAAAAGACTGTGATAATTAAGTAAGTGCAGTAATTTTGTTATAAACATATCTCAATTGTACATCTGTATCTAACATTTTTTTCTTATTTACGTTTTATAAATTTGAGAAAAACTGGTAACAGTAGTTTGCATATTTATTTAACCTATTTAAAATACAGTTTTGCTTTTCGTTAAATTTCTTTTTCACACTATCAACACGATAGCAGAAATAATTTTTTAAAGTTTTTTTTGTAACTGCCTGTCTTTTTTTTTTTTTGATGTCAATTCAATGATTTCTGTCTCTTTCAAATATTAAAATTCTCAATTGTAAAGCAGATATTGACGCTAGAAGTACAAAGTAAACAATTCAACAGAAACTTTAAAAAAATCAATGTGTAAGGATGAAAAGCGAAACAATTTAAAACGTTTACAGTGCATTTCTGATTGATTGTAAATTTTTCCGTTTAAACTTTAAAGCTAGATTGTAAAGAGATAGACGAATTTAAAGGTAAACAAAATAAACAGTTTGCTGCTTTAGTTCATATTAGGCCGTGCATTGCAAGGTAATGCATGTAAGACCTGTTTCTGAAATGCTATTTAAAAATTTAAAATATTTTCGGATTGAAATACACATAGGCGATCCTTTATATTTACGCACAACTCTATTATACTCCGATTAAAGATTCGTTATGCATGACAAACTCTGAAGCCGAAATTCAAGATTTTTATGGAAACTTTAAAAAGCAACGACATTTATGTAACAGAAAACTGAATGAAATTGGAAATGGGTAATACTTCTTTCGACTGCATTTTCATTTTTATAATAAAAGAGGGGGGGGGGGGGGGGGTGAACTGAGTATAAACTTTATTTTGAATAAGGATCAATATTTCAGAGGTTCGTAGCTAAGAGGTCACAATTATCCAGCAAAATTTTGTGCATGCTGATTATGTTTGGATTTGTTACCTGCATTTCAAAAAAAAAATAACCATATAACGGAAGCGTATTAGTGCCACGCAATATGTTTTTTAAGTTTGAAATTCCAACTTCAAAGTTGGTAATTCCAACTTTAATCCTGGAAATTCAAACTTTAATCTTGGCTTTTCCAACTTTAATCTGGAAATGCTTTAAAAAAGAGACCGTATCAGTTCTCTACAGGAACATATTATTTTCAGTTTGGGGAACTATCATGCAATCTCCAACTGTCTGCAATTTATTGTACTATAAGGGAGGGGGGTGTCGGTACTCCCCATGCACCGCCTCCGGCTCCTACGGCACATGCACAATAAAACTATTACTTCTAAAACCATCATTTCATAGTAAAATTGTATCTTTCCATTTTAATTACATATATAAAACGTAACACGATTTAAGCTACAAGGTATCACAGACAATATAATACATCAAGCTGAAAAAAAGTTGGAAAAGCCAAGATTAAAGTTTGAAAAACCAAGATTAACGTTGAAATTACCAACTTTAAATTTGGAATTACCAACTTTCAAGTAGGAATAACCAAGATGAAAGTTGAAATTTCCAACTTTAAAGTTGGAATTACCAACTTTTTGAAAACAAATAAACAACGTTTTAAAAAACACTTGATTAGTGGAGTTTGCATATCAAATATGCAGTCTCTATCTTTTTGCGTTTAAAAGTTATTGCAAAGGTACGAAAAAGCTATTAGCATAAAGGTCACAGTCAAGGTCATTGACCTCGGTTTCACTTGATAGAACTTGATCAGGTCGGAGAGAATACTCGAAATCAAGTATTATCCGTGAAATCGCGTATAATACTCGATATTAGGGTATCGTTTAATCCGCGAAATCGGGTATTCCGTGCAACTTTCTATAAAAACAAAAGAATAAAGCAACGGCGCATTGTGCCAGTTACTGTTACTTGAACATCAGTATTTTGTGGATTCATTTTTATGAAATCTAATTCATACGGTTGTCAAATAAGTTACAAATAAATCATACGACAAACACTGCTGGGGTAACAAAGAGGACACAATGGCGTTATTATTTTTCAATATAATTTCTAAAAACAAATAACAACACTTCTTTTGTCTTTATGTCCCATTAAAGTATTTCATATACTTAATTTTCCAATTTGTGCACTATTCACAAAATGTGAAACTTTAAAGAATTAAATTAAACGACTAACGCCGTGTTATGTATTTTTTCTGAAAAATGTATGGCGTACCTTTCACGTGAAATATAATTTGTTCCTAACAGTTAGAGAGTACAGTATAAGCGAGTCATATTTGTATATCTCTGCCCACAGGAGTCTGAAGTTTTTATCGTCAAAAAAAAAAAAATCCGGAAAAAAATTTTCCTACCCTTAATAAAAAGACCCGGTTTTTTAGTTAAGGATAGGAAATTTTTTTTCCGGATTTTTTTTTTTTTTTTTTTTTTTTTTTTTTTTTTTGACGATAAAAACTTCAGACTCCTGTGCTCTGCCATAATAAAATACCAACGTTATTATAAAGAAGAAATAAAATAAGATTAAATCTATACCCACCGGAAAACAGTTGAAATTAGGTACTTGAAGTTGAATATCTTTTTTATGTCAATTTAGCATGGAAATTTTTATTCAAAGACACCGTAAATTTTTGGTTGCATTTTAATCGATACAAGATATGCTATTTTACCTTTATTTTATGCATTTGTGTGAAAATTGAGTGAAAAGTCATATGAACAGGATTCTCTTTTTTTTGGGGGGGGGGGGTATAAATAAAAGTAAAATGTGTACATCTTTTCATGAGCTTATAATACATTGAATTTCTCAATATTGATTGAGGTACAGTCATATTGAAATATGAATTGCATAGTCAAGTTTTCACATTTCTTATCGTGTTTACGTTTATGAACATGTTAATGAACACACACATTAATTGTGTTTTTAAATGCCTTGGAAACTCTTTTCGTACTGTTTGGGAATATAATTTCTCATGGGACATTAAAATTTCATAAAAATCGTAGCCACTTCTTTTCTTTATTATACTATTTGATAGACATGTTAAATTTACCTCTTTACCTTCTATATTGTTTTTATATCGCTATCTAGTACCTCATTATAATATGCTAATACAATGCACTATCTGATTGGTTCTAGACAATATATCACAGTTTTCTTTTAGTTATTTTATCTATGATAGTTATTACTCATGGCAATAACTGTGTTAAAAAGTGTTAAAAAGATTAACATGAATTCTAGTTACTTGTAGTCTCATATTGTGTTAGAAAATAACAGGTTGCTTTTTGTTTACCTATATGATTTTTATTTGATGAATAAATCTTCCCTACAATTAATAATATATAACCGAGTTTAACCGACCGTGACATTCAAAGAGAGGTCTTTTGGACACATGTAGAACTCAGTCGAGATTGTTTTGTTAGAGGTGATCAAGAAGCCTTATGCCACCTCCCCACTTTTGAAGTCGTCAAGAAATAGTAAAATATTGATGACTTAGCGAAATTAAACGATCAACAGTTATGTTCTCTCCTAAGTTGTATTCCTGAAACTATCACTGCCTGTGCTAAAATGTCGAAGACATATTCTGCAAATATGTATGAATGATAAAAAAAGATTTAAAAAAAAGAGAACAGGGGGTTTTATAGCCGAAATTTTGGACATTTTTATCGTTACATTATTTATACATTCATAAATAAATTTGATTTTATGCACAAGATGAATGCGAAAGTAATTAATGACGCATAGTTTGAAACGATAGAGAATCCCTTTTGTTTTTACATGGCATCATATCTTGAGTGTGAAATGTGTTTCCGTATAATTTGATTTATTTTCAAATTGTTCATGTTTGTCGTGTTGATGACGAATTATTATAAATTCCCGAATTCTGATACTTTACAATTCTGTTGTGTTGGGAATGAACATTAGGAAGATGCATATACTTTCAATATTATGAAAAATATGAAGCAAATCGAGCTCCTTTTCGTGTGTAGATGAGTGATCATGAAATGTACTGAGCTCCACGGGTATCTGTTGTCCTGAGCGCATTTATCTTGACGCCCAAATGCTTACTTGGCAAGTGATAACTTTAGCAAACATGTGTATCTAGATGAAAGTTAGCTCGGCAACATGCGCCATTCCATTGTTTAAGTTTTATTAGGTGATTACACCCCCTATACCCGATTTCGCGGATTCAACGATACCCTAATATCGAGTAATATACCCGATTGCATGGATTATATCCGATTTCGAGTATTCTCTCCGACCTGTTTATTAGTGGAGTATGCATACATGTACCAAACATGAAGTCTCTATCTTTCATGGTTCAAACGTTATTGTGAAGGTTAAAGTTTGCAGACAAACAAACAAACAGGGCCAAAAAAAATACACACCCCAGATCGATACATCCGGGCGCATAAAAAACCTTTATCCAGTGCTGTAGAAATATTGCATGAGCGAGAAGATAAATAAAGAAAACTGGCATCAAAATACCGATGTATTCAATTTGTTGTATTTAGTGTTTCTTTCTATGTTGTTTATGTTACCTTTTGACAATGTCTTCCTCATTTAGAGGCGCCACCACTTGCCCATGGATATCTACAAATATTGTCCTTTACTCACTCAGAGCGATTTATCAGAGAGGGGTCTTTTTCGTACCGGTACTTACTGATATAAAAAGAGCCTCGGTTTATACGGTCGCATCCGAATGGCCCGGTCTCAATCTAATTAAAATCATACTTCTTAGACCCGCGCCGTATTCACTCTAGGTTAAAATTGACAAAACTCGAATAGAGAGACAAACAGACAGACAAACAAACAAACAGATAAAACATAAACAATATACCCCCGGGATATTTTGATCTGAGGGCATATATTTTGTATAAATTAAAACCATTTAGTCTTTAAGCATGCAGATAGTTATTTTTATTTCTTTACAGTTGCTTTAAAATCTTTTGAAAAATTTTCCTTCTATCAATTACATTTTACTTTGAATCTTACTTTATCTGTATTAAAACAGAATTTTGTCGCAGGAATGCACATCAAAGAAACTTTGAAGATACATATCCCTCTGATGTGCATGATATGCGGTTACAGTCAGGTATATTTTTGTTGCTTTTTAACATTTCAAATATTATTTCATTCCAACCAAAAATAAATCAGAGAACATTTTGATATACTTGTAATCCATAACTCTTGGCGTAACACTTTTCCGAAAGTTAGACTTTATTTCGTTGCAAGACAATTGAAGCTTATTAAAAGAAGGACTTTACTGTAAAATATGTTATCTCACCTAATTTTTAATTGATATTGCCTTCTACCAAATCATCACAGGCAAACCAATTTATTTTCCATCCGTTACATGGAGTTTGTCCTAAATCTACAGAAACGATTAAGTATGTGCCAAGTTGCCCAACAACGGAGGATGCTTGGAAAGAAAGAGAAGAACAAAAACGGTGTGAGGATGTGGAACAGGACTGTGTTTCTAGGGAGAGATTTGTCTATCACTGTGCTGTCAATGAGTGGAGGAATGCTACACTAGAAGTCTGTGCACCATTACGAATTATATTTGGTATATTTCTTACTATTTTATCTGTAATCTTCTTTAGCACTGAAAATAGAATTAGAGTTTACACTCTTTAAATTTTAGGGAATATGTTTGTGAACGTTTTACCTCACATTACATGTACACTGAATTTCCCCATTCCATCAGATCTCTTTTTCACTAAAACATTATTACATGTAATAAGAGAACCATGGCTGACATATTTGTAAATTGTAACAATCACAAGTCAAGAAGCTATTTGACAAGGAACAAAAACTTTGAGAAAGCTTTACAATGCTTATTATAAGATTTTATTCAGAATTGCATGGATATTACGAAAAAGTCTGATGAATGATAGGGGGACTCCAAGTCACGCAGTAAAGCGTTAAGGCCAGTGGGCGTCTTTTTTCCTGTTTGACATTTGACACTTATTCATAAGTAAAGACAAGGATTCTATAGCTATGGTCTAATTTACAAGAAATTGCATAACTTTGATTTAATCAAAGTGATGAAATGAACTTAGAGTCAGTTTGATTAGGGAACATGCAAGTTGTAAAAGTTGGCCATGTTGTTAAGCCAATTTGTAAGTGCTGATGACAAGTGAATGGTACGTGATGGTACCAAGTAGTGGCAAGCAGCTTAGCTGTTGGGCCAAGAGGCATCACCTCTAGTATATGTATAGTGATTAGCATTCTTATTTGACGAGTTTCTATTAAATACCCCACACACTAGAAAAGTGTCTATTGTACAGCTGTATTTGCATATCTTGCATAAAGCGTCATTTACATCCTTGTAAGACTTGGGGAAATTCATTTGAACTGGACTAAAAAAACTAATATTGCACCATTCGTTTAGCTCAATTAAGCCGAAGGCATAATTGAGCTACGATCATCAGCTCATAGGCAATAAGTAAACAAACTAAGGACATTATTATTATAATTATCAATGCTGCCTCTGTCAACATGATGAAATCCATAGTAATTGTTATGATCAGCAAATGGCCTCCTCAATAAAGTCCCGTTCCTCTAGTTTATGATAAACCATCTATCCATTGGAACTGTAAAGTTGAACTATTGAATCTTCTGTTCGTTAGTTTCGTTAGTTTAAGAATGAATGTTGCAACTAATGCAGAAAAATATATAAACCGCGTACTTAGTACCCCTCCAGAACTCTTGAAATCCGTAGTAAAATGTACTTTAGAATAAATGTAGTAATTGTTACTATTTCAAATATTTATATGCTTTGATTTAATGTGAAGCTTTTGCTCTTCAGCGTTTTCCAGATATTAATTTAAAATTTCAGAATAATGTACCTTAAAGGAACGAAACGCTGCATATGTTTTATGGTTGGTTTCAAAAATGCAAAAAATTAAAACAATGTTGAACGTTTACAATTTCTTCATAGTTTTGAAATTCAAGTTATGTATTATTAGCTCTTAAAGTTAAATACACGATCCTGGGCATCTGATTTATTTGTTTCTTACATCTGCCCGAGCATTTAGATGAATAAACAAGGCTCGTGTTCTTATATACTAGATGTAAATATTAATGGAAAGGTGTTTAAGGACTTTTAAAAATGACATATTATTACAATTTTACACATGGGCTAAAAATTTCCATATATATATTATATGTTATTGTGTAACGTAACTATGTTACTACAATTGTTTATTTTGTAAAGCTTCTGAAGATAGAATGAAAGTCCTAAAGCTTTACTGAAGTGTTTCGTGTTTTTTTTTTTCTTTTTTATTATATATATATATATATATATATATATATATATATATATATATATATATATATATATATATATATATATATAGTTGCTGTAAAAAGTAGTAAACATTTTTACGAAGTAAGGGCTTTGATAAATTTCTTAACATTAACTGTAATACTCATTTTAATATATCGCAGTATTCATTGAAAATAACAAAATAAAGGTTATTTTTCAATCGCATTTCAACATTTGCCTCTGCTTTATCACATTTAAGGTCGTTGTGTGGAATACAATGTGCTTGGGAAAAGAATTCAATTCAACAGAGAGCGTTGTACTACCTTTTCGAAGCCATGTCCAGCACATTACCAGTCTACGGATGTGTATCTTTGTAAGTATTCGATCATCTACTGTTTCAAGGATTGGTCGAATTTCTATTTTGATTAAAAGTGTTATGTACTAAATTCTGCAGTACATTGATTATATATTGTTTAACGTCCCTCTCGAGAATTTTTCACTCATATAGAGACGTCACCGTATGCCGGTGAAGGGCTTCAAATTTTGACCTTTACTTGGCACTCAGGACCATTGAGCAGTGAGGGATCTTTATCGTGCCAAGGCCAGCCGCTGACACAGGGCCTCGGTTTTTATGATCTCATCCGAAGGACCCGCAACTTTCACTTCAAAGTGCCGAGAGCATGGCGAAAGAACAGTTGCTTCCCATTTTATCGACTGGGTCAGTTGAGAGCATGGCGAAAGAACAGTTGGAAAAGAACAGTTGCTTCCCATTTTATCGACTGGGTCAGTTGAGGCCGAGATACGGACTCACGACCTCCCGATCACGGAGCGAGCGCTCTACCGACTGAGCTACCGTGAACGGTTTCTGCAGTACAATGTCCCAAATTTAATTTACGTGTTTATTGTTTTCTGTAATTATGCGTGAAAGACAATAATATGTTAATTATCCAGATATTGAAATTGGACTAGATCTTAAAAATAAAAAAAAAATATCTTAAACATTTTCCGCAGATAGGAGATATGGATAGGATCGTCTGCCATTTACTGAAACTAGTGCAGAGACGTCTGCTTTTCGAAGGACAAAGATAAATCTGGAATACATATACCTTTTTTATTTTATCCAATTTAGATCCTGAATGCTTCAAGACAATTATGACGTACACGTCACATTTGACAAATCATAGGCATGAAAAACATAAAAACGACAGTCAAAAGAAAATTACAGTAAATGAAGTAGTCATGAACAGACCGAACAATGGAGAAAGGAGGTAAGTTCTTCTTACTTTTGAAAAAGTGCCATTATACCTTGCACTCGTAACTGAACTCACGTACATGTTCATTCAGAAAGTGATCTAACCAAGCAATGTTTTGAAAATGATCAAGTATAGAGAACTAAATGTCTTTAAATTGAATCAAATAAAAATGAAAATTTTCTTTATGTTTATTAGTCATATATTATTATCATATATAATTATATATTTATTCAATTTGTTAAAGGAATATTTTTCTTAAGTTTCATTGATTGATATTGAAATGTCAAAATAAAGAAAAGTAACCGATCTCAAAAATTCAACAAACAATAAAACCTAGGAAACATTATAACTAGTTTATTACTACTGAACAGTTTTTCAACCACGAAATCAAACCCGCATGAACCAATATATTTTTCTCAAAACACGATAATTTGACTCCTCGAAAAATGGGATTTTACAATATTAAAAAACAAATACAGCTTTTGCAAAGCATTAAAAAATAAAAACTAAAAAAGGAAGACATATTCTTCTTAACATCCAGTGCACCAGAAAGTAAGAAGGTGTCGTGATAAACATGTATTGTAGATACAAGTGTATCTAATTCCGACGTTTTTTTTCGAGGATGCCTAATTGATTTAATAAATTGAGTATATACTCATCGGTATTATTTTGTGTGTATGTGATCAAATTTTACATTCAGTACAACACATTACCAAGTGAAAAAAAAGTTTGTAATCTAAAAATACGTGATGAAAAATATGTATATTTTGATTTTGTTGTATCTACTTCAAAGATCTCTATATGTTATAAATATATGAAAAAATGCGGATTTACGCGAAATTAAGTAAATTCATATCATCAGGGGTTGATTATAAATGATTCTCGCCGTAAAGCCAAAGATACTTACTTCAAAAACAAAAACCAAGAAAGAAATATGCATTTATACTTCAAATATTCAAGTCGTTATTAATAATGAAGATCAAATAACTTTAAATGTCAAAATTGCAAATACTGTGAAATCATTGTAAACTGTTTTTTTTTTAATCTAAAGGAATAATTGTAAAAAATTAAACGTAAACACTTATGTTTTCAGATACACAGATTTGACCTTGTTGTCATTGAACGTCCTATCAGCTCTTCTTCTTACTCGTTGAAGTGATATGGATAAACTCTAGATTTTTTTTTTAAAATTATAGAGTTGATGTTTTTATTTTTACTGTATGAATTGTTATTTTATATTACATATTAAATATTCATTCAAGCACATACATAATTCAATTTATACCATTATCTTCTAATATAATAGATATACCTTTTTATTATTAATATAATTAAAAAACCTAACCCCAACCATTTTGGGGAAAGATTATTGTAATTCGCCACGACCTATCTACCCCAACCATATAGGAAAATAACAATTCAAAGTTTTTCGCCCCCACTCTAACGAGACAATATTGTAAGCCCTGTAATGAACAGAAAGCTTTTTATGTTGATTACAAGTATATTCAAAGATGTATTTAGCTCTACCTTTGAGAGATTTTGAAACAAAATGTAACTCATAGGCCAAACTGACCAAATTGGACTGCCATGTGTATTTAATTATCCGACTGTGTTCCAATACAAATTGAATACCCACCATTTGTTATGGTTTTAATTGAAGAAACTGCTGCTCGCAAATTATTATATTTCTTAATTCCTAGCGAATTCAAGTGAACACCATCATTAGAAAACACCATGTCCTGACTTGCAGGGGACCAGAAACATGATAAACGGAAAAATTTTGAACCATCCACATTATATAAATAGGATGATAATCTCAGATTAAGTTCATCCACTCTGTCATTGAACCAATTAGTATCCACTTCATAGCGTATGCGGTAAGTGGGGGGTCTTCTATGTAAAGTTTGTAGAACTACAACATGTTTCACTGATTCTGAATAACGAAGGGATATAATTAAGTCAATCAATTGTTTGAAGACATCAGATACTGATTTTTTAGGATCGCAGAGGTCATTTGATACGGCTTGCAATACCACCACATCTGGATGAATCAGTCTTACGTAACGCAGACCTTGCACACTAATCTTTGACAATGTTGCTCCCCTAAATCCTGCATGCATATGAAACGTGAACGGTCTCCAAACTTAAGTTCAAATTTTTTGTCACACGATTATTCGTAGAATTACTTACAAATTCTTCCAATCTACTGACAAATGAATGTCCTAACACTATCAGTTTCATAACCATGATGAGGGCGAGTAACGTAATCGTTTGTACGCAGCCACAACTTCTAAAAACAACGTTCTTACCATTAAAGAAAATAAAGGAGAATGTACTTACGATGCATCAACAAATGCTAGTAATGGTCTTGCATAAGAATTTTAGACACAGAGCATGGAAAGTACAATATATCATACAAATCCAAAAAAAATCTGCATATTAAAACAATGGCTACATTGGTTCAGTAAACAAATATCACGTGATCAATATGAAGATAGATTTCAAAACCATAATGGGAAAAGATTGTCATTCAGGAAAAAATTGGAATTTTTTTTTTAACAGTTATCGAGATGCTATAAATTACTTTATGTTTTCACATAAATACAATTGTTGTTTTATATGTTAAATCTAGTAGCTTAATAATTTTTGTAAATTGTGCTCAGATTAATATCTGACTATAGGACTATATTTACCTCCACTGAATATTTTCTCCCATTGCGTTAATCACTTCATGAACTACAGAAGGCACGTCACCTGTACACATTTTTTGATCAGTGGCTGTTCCATCAATGAAACGTACACATATAAAGACGTTCGCATAATTAATACAATAATTAATCGTTTTAATCCTACTTTAAATGATTATTTAAACAGATATAAATAAAACAATAAAATGTCTTTCTTTGTTTATTACTGGAATTAATTGTTCCACTTCTATTCTCAATGACCGTGTAGTGTAGGGCAGCATTGTGAGAATTCCATCGGCATCGAAAACAAGTTTTTAAACTTTCCTAGATAGCCGAGCGGTCTAACGCCCTGTTCCTGCACTGCTAGGAGACAGATTCCGTAGGTCGAGAGTTCAACCCCGGGCTGGGGCGGAAGTGAGTATCCTTGTAAAAGTGAATTTCTCTGTGCTCTCTATATTAATATTCCTTCACTTAGGGCAGCTATATTAGTTTAAGAGTTGTTGTAATTTGTGCTTTATAACTAAAATTAATTTATAACAACATGTATTGGAAACAATCCTCTAAAAAACTAATGTCAAAATAACTGTATCTCACTTCCATTCTCAATGACCGTGTAGTGTAGGGCAGCATTGTGAGAATTCCATCGGCATCGAAAGCAGGTTTTTTAACTTGCCTAGATAGCCGAGAGATCTAACGCGCTGTTCCTGCACTGGGAGGAGACAGATTCCGTAGGTCGAGAGTTCAACCGCGGGCTGGGGCGGAAGTGAGTATCCTTGTAAAAGTGAATTTCTCTGTGCTCTCTATATTAATATTCCTTTACTTAGGGCAGTTATATTAGTTTAAGAGTTGTTGTAATTTGTGCTTTATGAATAAAATTAATTTTTCACAACATGTATTGGAAACAATCCTCTAAAAACTAATGTCCAAATAACTGTATCTCACTTCCATTCTCAATGACCGTGTAGTGTTGGGCAGCGTTGTGATAATTCCATCGGCATCGAAAGCAAGTTTTTTAACTTGCCTAGATAGCCGAGCGGTCTAACGCCCTGTTCCTGCACTGCTAGGAGACAGATTCCGTAGGTCGAGAGTTCAATCCCGGGCTGGGGCGGAAGTGAGTATCCTTGTAAAAGTGAATTTCTCTGTGCTTTCTTGCTCTCTCTCTCTCTCTCTCTCTATATATATATATATATATATATAGCAACTGGATAGAAGTAGCATCTCGTTTGCAAATTTGTCTTTCCGATATTAGTTCTTGGATGCGCTTTTACTTTCTAAAGATGAATCAAGAAAAAACGGAGCTTATTATCTTTTCCCCAAAACACAGAATTCATAATTTTAATGAAGTTAGTATCAATTTTGAACGAAATATAATTAAAGTCTCATCACGTGTGAAAAATTAAGCTGTTTTCTTTGATTCTGTGCTGAACATGGATAACCAAATTCGAAACATTACCAAGTCATGTTACCATCAATTGCGAAATATTGGGCGCATTCGATCTTTAATATCAGAGAGTGCTTGTAAGACCCCTGTATGCTCATTTTTAACCTCTCGTCTAGATAATAGCAAGGCCTAAATATCAAAATTCAAAATACGGCCGCCAGGATAATAACTCGTACAAAGAAACATGACCATATAACACCCGTGTTAGTCAAACTACATTGGATCCCCATGGAACACCGAATCCACTACAAGCTGCTTCTGCAGACTTTTAAAGCTTTAAACGCAACATCGCCACTATATATACAAGAACTGGTTCAGGTTTACACGCCGAGTAGATCTCTAGGCTCAGAGACCTCCATGTTCCTTGTTCAGTCGCGCGCGCGGACTAGATTGTACGGCGACAGGCAATTCGACGTAGCTGGTGCAACATTTTGGAAAGTCTGCTTCAAAACTTGAGATTGGAAAGCAATTTTATTCGTTTTAAAAAAATATTAAAAACTTATCTATTTACCCATATTATTCTTAGGAAGCTACTCTTATTTGTTTTTTTTAAGATTTAAATTATCTTACAACATTGGACATTGCAGCAATTAACATGTATAAATATTTCTCGTCTTTTAAAAAAGTTTATTTATGTATATCCTTACGACTTTGACATGTAATTTTAGTCCTGTAGTGCTTGTAATTTTTATGTTTTTTTTATCTTTCTATGCTCAAGTTTTAATGTACAGCGAGTAATTTTATATCATATTTAGCGGTTTATAAATTGTTCATGATTAAAATAAAATAAAAATAATATTAAGAAGTATTTGTCAATTCTGTACATGGGAGGAGTTGTTCATATTCGCTTATAATTACATATATCACATAAATTCGTGAAGAAAAATGCAGAATGATTTCAAAAAAGTGTATATTTTCCACAGAATGACATGTACACTTGAAATATTCGTTTTTGACTCTTTATGAGCAAAAGATGAAGTATTTTGTCAATTTTGTGAAAAAAAAGATACATGTACTTTTAATAATTTAATGGAAATATTGAACCACAAAAATGATTATGTAAAATATGGAAGCCTGAGCACCATTAAAAAATTACAATGTAGGTAAAAACTCAAAGTCAAATTCAGTGGGTCAAAATTCTTGATTTCAATTATAATGTCATGTCACAAGGATTCAAAATGAAATGTATCAAAGCATTAGCTCTAACCCTTGAACAGTTATGATCAAGGCTTGCTTTTTGACAGTTGGTCAAACACCAAGGTATTACATGTATTATACATTGTGCGTCAAACAGTTAAAGTTCTTGGTATCCATTGAAAGTCTTCTCGTAGTTCATTAGTATCCACTGAAAGCACTAGCCCTTACTGTTCAAAAGTTATGACCAAGATTAAAGTAGCATATGGAGAATTAAATTCCTGGTATACACTGTTCAAAAGATATGGGCAAAGCAACAAGTAAAAGTTTGGAATTTTTGTGTAAAGGTGGGTTCGACGAACTATAACTGTCACCCAAAAGGATACAGTGTAGTTTGTTTCCGAAAAGGTTGCATATGATGAAAATTATGCAGATAAAGGGAGATATGACCTTGTAACGTGATAACCTATATATACTGAGATGTTTTTTTTCAGTAAATTTGCCATGATTTTTTGAAAATGCTACTCATATTAATGCTTGTCCCCAACATGTGAATTTTCAAGTACATTTTTCATAAATCAATAAAGTCATTCCGATTATCGATTTCCATTAAAAAAAGACATTAGTTTTGCTAGAGTTACTTAAATGTAATTCTTTCAAAAATGGTCAGATACAGTGTACAGTATTATCATTTGGGTTCTTGGCTGTTGTTATAATCTACAAAGTTGTCTTTAAAATGTTCTCAGAACTCATGACTTTATTCTTAAACGAGCTAATTAAACAATAAAGTAAAAATGAACTTTAAAAAATCATCTACGTGTATTAACATTGTCATATGTTTTTATATGCCATCGTACGTCCGTCATGATACATCGGTCAGTCGTTTCATTGG